CTGGAGCCTGGATCCTCGTACGGGATTCATTTTCACTTTTTGTTGACTCATAAGTTCATAGAATTCCGTTCTGGTCGTTTTTCTCCAGTTTCGGAGTTTGTGGACCTCGTTGGTGCCGAACTTGTTTGGGGCATAACTTTCTGCTCGGGACTCAATTTTTGACGCCGTTTCTTCCGTTGTTCATATTTTATCATTTTGAATCTTTTTATTTCATAGAGGTTTGTCATTTGAGTGCGTCTGCTTAAATTTTACTTTTTCAGACCTGGTGGGGCCCTTTCGGGGCACTTTTTGGATTTTACTATAAAAGGGAAGTGAGATATTTCATTTTTGGTCATCTCCTCCCTTGATGCACGACCAGCAGCTCCCATGGCTGCCGAAAGGGGCTTCCATCCTTCTTCTTCCATTTAAACCCTCTTCCCTTTGTTAAAAAGTTGAAGTGCCTTTGCATTTTGTGTTCGTGTTGACTACGCACTTCTTTTACCCTTATTAGAACCCATTTCCGACCAAATTTTGAGCTTGGTTTTCAGTTCAAGTAGTGATTTTCATGGGGCTTCTTTGGGATTCTTGTTCACGACGTTGTCCCCGACAAAACCCCAAATTATTATAGGATTCGAAGCTGTTTCGTTTTGGTGGCTTTTGAGATTTTCATCTCAAATTGAGGTAGGGGGTGTCTTAGGATTATATTTATGTTGTATTGATAATTATATGAGCATATACAATTTGTGAGCATGTTTTGTTCAAGATCTAGAATTTGATTTGATTAATTTCTATTTATGAGATTTAATTCAAAAGATTGTGTATATAACATGGAATTAAATTGTGGCATGCTAGGAAATTAAGTTTTAGTATGTTGATTAACATATATAAAATTTGGGGCATTTGGATAAGAATTACAAAATTTATTTAATATTTATGTTTTGTGAAAGTTTAATTCACATGGTGATAGCAAGCATGAAATCATGATGTAATGTGATATTTGGATAGGCCTTGGCTTGTTCTTTAACATATATTAAATTGCGGACATTTAGATATGTTTGAAAATCTAGAGGAAATTAATTAATTAATTTTATTTTTAGGTGTTGTAGTCACTTAAACTGATTTTGGGTATAATATATGTGAAGCCTACGTTATGTCCATTACATATTTAATTTGAGTTTATTTAAGATTAATATGAAATCTAGAGACTTTTCATGTTAGGTTGAAAATCCCTTTAATGTAGTGAAATTAATTACCTTGTGTGCATATTACTAATTGGATGTAGAATTAGTACTTGGGACCTCTTAAAATGGTAATTTGACTTAGCATGATATATGATATCATTGTCTTGCATGACTTGTTTAAATATATCTTGTGCAGGTATATAACTTGTTAGACTATTATAATTATTTACCTTGTAAGCTAGTTACTAAATTGGAGCTTATTTAGCACTTGTGGCTTAGGATGGTAATGTGGCACAGTTGTTGTAAAATATTCTTGCTTTGTATGTAAATTGCATATTGAGAACATGACATGTCATATGCTATTTAAACTTGAACTTTGGGACATGGTTTGTTGAATTCAACCTTACTTATGCATGTAAATTGATTCCTAGACATTATTTAAGATGTATAAGTTTGGTTTAACTTATTGATTTTGCATAAGTTTTGAACTTATTGTTTTTGGAGACTTGTAGGGATCATATTCATGTGATGGCTAGAGTTTAGCCCTAGTACGGATTCGTGAGTCTCCTAAGTCATATGAAGTGCACAATAGGTAGTACCTTGTGGGTCATAATTACCCGGAACACGTGCGTACTAGGTAGTATCTTGCGGACTAGGCAATCTATATTTATTTGTTATCCATGCTTAGTTTTCAATTAGTGACACACTGTGATACCCTTCGGATCCGAGACATGGGTTGATCAGGCCCAGGCCCAAACCCGAGGGAAATATCAAACAATTAATATGTAATATGAACACAGATGACGAAATGAATTTAAGAATTAAAGTTTAAGCTGAAAGAAACAAAAATAAAATCCTCAAATATAAAAGATTTAATAATCCAACTTCAAAACCTCCAAGGGTACAACTTGGGAATCCATCTCTAGTGGACCCCTAATAAAAATCCTAAATTGAATGAAAATAAAGAACTGAAGACACAATCCAAATCTAATATCTGAAAAGAAGTCCTACGTCGTCGGTAGAATGGAAGATCGTCTCTGCTCAGCCCGAACAAGCCCAAAGATTGGAATTGTCCGATACCTGAAAATGATAAGTGGGTCAGGCCCACTAGCAAGTTCTATACTACTACAACCCAAGCAGAGACCCGATACGCATGTACATCCTAACCAATCCAACAATAACTAAATAGTCCGTAGATATGTATATATATATAATCACACTACAGGACTCTCACTGGACTACAGGCCCGTCTCAACCTGACTAGTAAGCACCATGCAAAACGCACCTGAGGTGGGCATGACTACCTAGACCTAGCAGGGTACACATCTAACCATCCTAGCCAGCTATGCATCCCAATGCATATACGCTCCCTAGCCAACTACTCTGAGACTTAGGCTCATATCGTGGCACCATAAAAATATATTTAAATTCCGTTCCAAACCAGAAGTGTCACTCAACTATTTAGTGATCTGACACAACATACAGGTAGGACTTAACCTTTATAGTTAATTCATCCCTCAATCCAGAGTAGGTAGGACTTAGCATTTTTTAGCTAATCTCCCTAGTATGACACCGTCCCATACCGGTGCATACAATCCATCCATCTAGTTAATAATATAAGTGACAGTAAATATCAACATATCCAATCTAAGTATAAAAAGAATGTTTAAATAGCATGCTTGTTTAATACATCCAGTATATGATTCCCTGACAAGTTTTAAATACAGAGAATAAATATAACCATCCTGTAACTCACAAGAAGCATAATAATAATATTAACAGTAATTGCATGCTTCCTTGTAATACTTCACAGCATCCCACAAGTTGACATAAACGATTCTTGGTCAACATCAACTAGTTTCTTATTAATCATTAAGTGAAATTATATTAGTCGACAAGCTTAATCCCATATCACTGTTTCATGATTTAAACATAAACTTCTTAATTCAATTGCTAAGCTTAAAAACAAGCAACTTGAATTGTCTGTAACAAAGTCGTCACACAAACTTCCTTAAGTGTTGTAAACATCAATTAATTCTCCGTTAAGCATAACTGACATTATATAATTTGAGATGCTTAATCCAATACCATGGTCCTATGATTTACACATAAAATTCCTAAAAAATTGATACCTTTAAAACAAGCAACTTGAATTATCCGCATCACCGTAAAACTAATCACTTCCTAAGAGTCTCCGGCTGTTCCTTATTTAGCTTCTTATGGTATATTATAAGTTACCATGCCTTCTTAGCATTTATCAAGAGTTTATTCATTACAAAATACCCCCAGAACCATTCCTAAAACCTTCTGGAACTTCAAAATTCCAAATATAGTAGCCTAGATTCGCAGGGAAAACAAAGAAAATAAAAAAAAACTGGAAACCTTGAAGGAGCTGGCTCCACACAAAGTGGAGCCGCCTCCAAATAATGTTGGAGCCGCCTCCACCATGGTAGAGCCGGCTCCACTTAAGGTGGAGCTTGCTCTACGTTGTGGTGTACCTGTTCCTCCTCTGCGCATCGTCTCCTTCCCCTCTGGCAGTATTAGACTGTTTTGTTCCACCAAACCAACCTCTCTACTGGTTAAAACTAAGTCCCAAGATGCTCTAAAGTTATTTAAATTCATTACTTGCCAACCAAAAACAATTAGAACAAGAATTAACAAAAGCAGTCCAAAACAGAAGGGAAAACATATATAAGAACATATATTGTTATGAAACAATATATTTATACAACCAAATTAATTTAACTTAAATTCTTCCTGGAACTGAATTAGGGATGCAAAGAACACAGGCCAAAGAGATTTAGTAAATATAAAACTTGCCTGTGAGATTCGGTTCAAAAATCTCAACGTCCTTCCTCTAAGTGTTTCCAGAAATCCTTCAGTTTTGTCCGAGACTTCTCTCTACGTTTCTTGTTTCCAGTATGGCGTGAATAGGGTTTTTAAAACCCTAGGCAGATGCTCATTACATATATTTATAGGTTTTCGCAAAACCCTAATCCATGTCTAATTCGGCCCATAAGCAAACCTAGGATATACAATGTCAGCTGCCTATGAAAACTATAAACCCCATGAAAATATATTCACGTTGCCAACTAACTAAAACCAACTAAATGTAATTTAACTAATCTAATTAAATTAAATTTTAACTTAACACAATTAAATCCATAAGTAAGACAATTAAATAAATTAACTTAATTGCATGCAAGTAACCTAAACCAGTAATCAAATGCAACAATTAAATCCATCACCAATCCAATTAAATTAAAACAAAACAAATTTATTAAACAATTAAAGCCAAAATAAAAACTCAGTTAATAAAGTCAAATAATACAAATAATTCAAGTAAGTCAAATAAGTCAATAAAGAATTAAAAATTCAATTAAAATAATAAATTAAATACCAGGACTATCCTTTTAAAATTAGGGGTATTACACACACACACACACATTTTACAACTTGAATTTCCCCATTAAGTTTTTTTTTTTTTTTTTTTTCTTGAATGGGTATTTTCTTTTTGAATTTTATAAATATTCAAAAGAGATACAATTATAAGTAGAGAAAAACTCCAATACATGTCATAAAGTGGAATTAATCCACTACCATCCACCAAACCTAAGTTCAAAATAAAAACCAAATATGACCCAAGCCATATAAAAAAAATAAAAGTCTAACATAAAACTAATCAAGCTCTACAGCTGAAACATTGATGAAAAGGAACCCGCCACATCAAGAAATCTAATCCCTTTAACCTGAACCGACTCCCTTTCAGAGAAGTAAAACCAGCCCCCAACAACACAAAAAACTGGAAATTTCAACCCTGAGCCAATAACCATCAACAGACTATGCATCATCAAATAAAACCATCAACTCAGCAAATCCAATTGAGAAGAAGTGCATGACTTCCCAAACAACAAGATTTGTAGCAACTGAAGCCTGCTCCTTAGAACCTCCATGCAAAGAAACATTCCGCTCCATCCAAATCTTCCAGATAAAAACACAAAATATCTCTTTTATAATTTTGGACCTGAGACAATCAACCTGAACCTGCAATAAAATCCACTCCACAAACTGATTTATACCTTGAAATCTCACCACTGAAATGTGCAACTTATTTAACACTTGCTGCCAAACCTCCAAAGCATAAGAGCACTTGCAAAACAAATGGTCATTAGAGTCTTCCTCCTTGAAACAATTATGATAGATAGCTGGACCTGAAAATCCTCTTCTCTGTAAATTAAAACAAGACAAGTTTTTGTTATGTAGAATAATGACCACCAAAACAGCAACTCGAGGTCTACAAAATTTCCAACTAAGCTCCTTCCAGCCCACTATCTGTCCTCTAGCTCGACAAATTTTCCAAACATTCTTCAAGTTAAATCTTCCCTGAGACCATTCAATAGCATCTTGTCCAGACTTCACAACAATATTAGCTATAAAAGTAACAGCCGAAGTTGAAAAAAATTGAGGAAAGGACCATCTTCCATCAACAATTAAAGTATTTAGCCTAGCTTGCTTATCATAATTTTTGAAAATATCAGCTCCAAATCTATGAATTAAGGACAACCCTGCACACCAAGGATCAAATAGCATGTTAAATGATGTCCCATTTCCAACCCTGAATTCTGCATTTTCTTGTATGAACTCTCTGGAGTCCAGTATTTGTTTCCAAATAGAGGAATCTTGCACTTTAGGTTGAATAGTCCAGAAGCTTTCCTGTTGTAAGTACCTGGCATGCATCCACTTAACCCACAATGCTTCCTTATTCTTCACAAAATCCCAATAAATAACAGCTTTAGCTGCAAAATCAACATCAAGAATCCTGCGAAGATTAAACCCACCTTCTGCATACAGTAATGTTACTTGACTCCATTTTAATTGAGACATCTTGTTAGCATCAAACTTTCCACTCTATAAAAAATTTTTGAACTTCCTTTCAAGAGCAACAACACAACCCCATGGAATTTTAAAACCAAAAATCCAATGATACAAAAAAGAATATAGAACATACTTAAGAAGTTCTATTCTCCCTGCAAGAGACAGATTAATTGTGTTCCAATGCTCCAATCTAGTAGTTGCTTTATCAAAAATCCCCTTACAATCAGAACTTCTCAAGCCTCTGTTAACTAGAGGAATTCCCAAATATTTAATAGGAAAGGACTCCACTTTCACCTGTAAAACCGGAAGTAACCTCCTTTTACTCCTCATAGACTTTGAAAAAATAACAGCACTGTTCTGCTTATTCATACCCAGACCTGACACTTCATGAAATTTCTGAAACACCCCATCAATAGCTTTAGCAGTCGAAATGTTAGCCTTAACCATAATGAACAAATCATCTGCATAGAAAGCATGAGAGACCAAAAACCCAGACTTCTGCACCATTTTACAAACCTTTAATTGACCATAAGCAATTTTCTCATGCATCAATGTAGAAAAATAATCTGTAATGAGAGTGAAAAGAAGAGGAGAAAAAGGACAACCATGTCTCAATCCCCTCCCAGATGCGAAGAAACCAGCTAGAACTCCATTACACAACACTGAAAATCTTGCTGTAGACACACAGTTCATAATCCAATTACACCATCTCTCAGTAAAACCATACAGCTTCATACTCTGATGCAAAAAATTCCAACTGACTGAGTCATAGGCCTTTTTAAGATCCACCTTAATGGCCATAGTAGGTCCACTACTTTTTAAACCAAATTTTTTTATCAAATCAGTCACTAATAGAATATTATTATGAATTCTTCTACCTTTAATGAAAGCTGATTGTTCCAACCCAACCAACTTAGGCAAACTTATACTCAATCTATTAGCCAGAATTTTAGAAATGATTTTATAACATAAGTTACAAAGAGTAATAGGTCTATAGTTTTCCAACTTATCCCCATGATTTGTCTTTGGAATAAGGGTTAGAAAAGTGGAATTAATCCCCAAAGGCAAAGTAGCCCCATTAAAGAAATAAGCAATTGCAGCAATGAGATCATTACCAACAATGTGCCAGTATCTTTGAAAGAATCAAGTAGGAAAGCCATCCGGACCTGGAGATTTATCAGGACTAAACCCCATGACCACAATTTTAATCTCCTTTGCAGTAACCTCACTATCCAAACCCTGCTTATCAGCATCAGAGAGGACTCTTCTAGGAGGGGATAACTCTGTCTCAACACCTGGAATACCTGCATATAGATTTTCATAATATTGAACTATCCATTCTTTAATGATTGTAGGATCTGAGGAGATCTCACCCTCATCATTTTGTAAATAATTAATGGAATTATAGCATCTTCTTTGCTTAACCATGTTATGAAAAAAGGAAGTACACTTGTCACCTTCTTTAAGCCATTTCAATCTAGACTTTTGACTCCATATGATTTCTTCCAATTCCAGAGTAGACTGTAACTGTAAACTGGCTTCCCTCTCCTTAGAAATCAGATTTTGATTTAATAGATCCTTCAACAATTCCATCTGGATAGAATGCAGCCCTTCAGTAACTAAACTAACCTGTTCAGGAAGTTTACCTTTATTTTTATTCCACTCTTTGACAGCCTTTTTAACTGATCTCAACTTCTTTTGTAGTTGATCCAAAGGATTTCCTCCAACTAACTCTCCCCAAGCCTTGAAAATAATCTCATCAACCCTTTGCTGAATACACCAGATTTTCAAAAACTTAAAAGGCTTTGGTTCTGAAGCACAATCCATATGCCACTTCACTGCCATCCCATAATGATCGGACAAAGAAGCTGGAGTGTAATGGACTCTGGAATTAGTGAACCTATGAAGTCAATCCTTAATAACAAGAACTCTATCAAGCTTCGTATTAATCCTTCTATGACTATCTTGTTTGTTGCACCAAGTCCACCCTCCATTATTAATAGGAACCTCATCCATCTTAATATCTTTAATAACTTGATTAAATTCATTAAGAAGAAATTGAGGTACTCTCAGCCCCCCAACTTTCTCTTTATGAGACCTAGAAATATTCCAATCACCAATAGCCAACCATGGCCCCTCAAATACAGTAGCCTGATATTTCAAAATCAACCACAATTTCCTTCTATCTTGAACATTATTTGCCTTGAACATTATTTGCGGCATAAATAGCTGAAATAAACACGGTTAAACCTATAAAGACATGTTTCGCTTCAAACAACATCACTTGAGCATCCTCAATAACCAATTGAACCTTAAAAAAATTAGGATCCCAAGCCACCCAAATTTTCCCTAAAGGACGAGAATCATAATTAGATAACCATTGCCATCTAGCATTAATTTTATTCTGAATCTTAATAGCCTTTCCTTGTCTGACCCTAGTCTCAACCAAAACCACAACGGCAAATTTATTCTCACTAATCCATGTTTTAACCACTTTTTGCATGCTAGGTCTATTTAGACCTCTAACATTCCAAGCTTCAAGCATCAAGAACAAGAGTTTGGTGGCATTCCGCCACTATTTTATTTACCTCTAGTTACCCTATCAGATGGAGGAACATAAAGCCTTTTCTTAACTTTACTCTTATTCACATCAGTATGTTTTTGCTGTGAATGATCACCCTCAACCTCAGCTGTAGCACCACCCTTACAACCACTACCTTCTAAAATAAAGTCTTGTTCTAACCCACTCCCTTCATGTATCTCATCTATATCAAGGATCTCAGTTGCTGCCCCAAGGTTAGCCACTTCAACAAGCCTAATATCATAGTCCCCATCTAACTTTGTATTATCACCATCCTTAGAACCTGATATAACTTCTTTAACCCCCACAAAATCAATAGGATGCTCAGTATCCCCCAAGGAAAGCCGTGTATCCCCTTCATCCACCTCCTCAAGAGATGACCTCAAGTCTTCTTTAACCAAAGCCAGATTTGTGTCCTCTTCAACCACCATTTCTAAACCAGCCCCATCCTCAAGACCTCCTTTGATATTAACCCCAACCTCAACACCCTCATTTGAAACATCATCATCTATATCTTCAACCCCATTTCCAAGCAAGGCAAAGGCATTAGAAGTAGCCACAACATCCTAGCCATTATCTGAATCATTTCTCTTTGAAATACAATTAGCCACCTTGTCTGCAACACCACTATCAATTAGTTTTCCTTTCTGTTTAATCACCCACCCGTCCACTACCTTATTGGGTTTAACTTGAGTTACTTTTTTAGGGCAAGTGTCCGCCATATGATTAATTTTTTGACACAAAGAACACACCCTATGCCGCCATTTATACTCAATCGACACATTACAATCACACCCATGCATATCGATAATCATGTTATTATGCAACACTTCAAAAATTTCCGCCTCAATCATGACACGAACAAACCCTCCTTTATCTCTGAACTTGACCAGATCATCCATGTAAATCGGATGAGAGAAAGAAGAGCACACTTTTGAAACTGACACAGAATTGCGGCAATGCATAGGAAGTCCATAAATCCAAATCCATATCGGCACTGAATCCAGTTCTTCCCTTTCCAACATCACGTTTTTACACCACTGTTTCATATTGATCAATCGACCCTCAAAGGTGTGAATACGAGATAACACCTGTTGCACAATTTCTTCCTTCTAGAATCTTACCATGAAAAAATCGTTCTGTAGATAGACCACCGTTACATCTTTTGCCCACCATTTCTCAACATATGCCTTGAAAGTATGATAATAAGGACGCTTTTCCAAAACATATCCCACCACTGAAGGTTTCTAGTACTCAATTTCTTGTGCAACATCATCAATAGTAATGGAAACTTTAGAACCATGACTAGAACTATAATGTTGGAGGTTTGTAAACACAGGAGAAGATGAGGATGAAGAAGCAAAACAACTTCTCCATGAAAGTTTGGGTTAAGTGATAACCTCATGCAAGCCCGGAGACGCCAGCAAAGAAATGGAGGAGGAAAAACCCTCCCCCATGAGGAAAAACCTCTGAACGTAACCCTAGAAGCATGCAAACCCTAACCCTAATAGCGTTTTCCTATAAAGCATTTATTTCTCCCATTTATTAATTTCCCCATTAATTTTTAATTGCTAGTGTTCGATGAAGTGAAGCTTAGTGGTGAACTCTAAGCCCCAAGACCTTTCTCTCATATTACTTTCTCTAATTTCTAGATTGTCACTTAATTGCATTGTTTTAATTGAATCATTAATTTTAATAAACAAATCGAACCCCTCTTTTGATCATTTGACCTACTATTCCATCATTGATTCTAAAGTACAGTTCATTTCTCTTGGGACGATCCTTACTCACTTTTGCTATATTATTAGTTAGTTGTGGTAGTAGCATTTCATAAATTTAAACTTGGCCACATCTTGATCACACCAATTTGGTGGTGTACACGACGTCTCACACCAAGATGTCTCAACATTTGGGATCGGCAGAATTGGAATTTCTGGACTGATTTTAGGATCTTCGAGGGAACTTGAATCTTTGGGAGCAAGAACTTCAGTCTCTTCCCCTACCTTGTTATCTATAATTCTTCCACTTCAAAGTGTAGTGATTGCATTGACTTGTTCATGATGTAATCCACTCGGAGGAGGGAGTTCATCAATCACAAATTGTCCTTTTAGGTTCACAACTGTTTGAGCTGGAAGCTTACCCAAATCCCTTTTATGAAGTTGATTCACATAATTAGCTAATTGTCCCAGTTGGGTTTCAATGTTAGGTATTGATTGGGAGTGAGTATTAACCAATTGCACAGTTGATTATATGCCATTGAAGGCAGCTATGATTTGCTTGTGGGTATTCAACATCTTATCCCATTGGGATGGGTTAGGAGAAAAAGAATTTTGATTTGAAAAGCTTTGATGTATGGAGGAGGATGATAGCTTGTAGAAGCTTGGAATGGCTGGTTCATGGGTTAAACATTAAATTAACTGGATTGCCCATGACCTTGGAATGTTAAATTTTGTGGGGTTAGTTGCCTCCACGAAAAATTCGGGTGGTCTCTCCATCCCGAATTGTATGTATTGGACTATAGATTATATCTAGGATGAGAAAACATGGCATTGGCCTACTTTTGCATACCTCCAAAAAATTACTCCGGTGTGGGGCAATCTTCTTCATGATGAAAAGTGCTTGTGCAAGATGCACATATAGCCCTTGATGAAGAATTTTGAGAAAATGAAAGATGTGGTGCCACTAGCTGAAAAAATTTATGTGTCATGGCATTCACTTGAGATGATTCTTTCCTTAAAGTCAGTGGTTGGCACGGATTTGAGGGTTTTTCAACGCTAAAGAAGGAGCTCTACGAGAACTATGTTGAATAGAATTGTCGCTTATGTTCTCAAGCAAAATCCATGCTTTATTTGCATTTTTGGACATAAATATGCCCTCACAGGAAAAATCTATCAATTGTCTATGTCGTTTTGTTAAACAACCATGAAGGCTTGTACCAATTGCCATTTTGGAATTTGGTGGTGCGGACACTTCCTAAGAAGGTCTTCGAGTCTTTCCCACGTCTAATAGAATTGTTCTCCATTGATTTAGGAGAAACTCAAAATTGAACAACACATTTGATTGGTTTTAGCCACTGGATAGTACTTTTGTTAAATTCTTGTTGTAATTGGGCTTATATACTAATGGAGTTTGCAATAAGGGTGTTCAACCAATATTTTTCCCTATCTTTTAAATAGAATGGGAAGAGACATATATGAAGAGCATTTTGAGGGAAGTCACT